ATGACCACTGTTCGCACTGTGATTGCAGGTGCTGCCATTCGCTAATGGAATTTGTCTCAGATGGATGTGAAAAATGCATTTTTTCATGGAGATTTAAGTGAAGAGGTTTTTATGACTCCTCCTCCTGGATTGTCTCATAGTCTTGGTCAAGTATGTCGATTTCACCGAGCTTTATATGGCCTTAAACAGGCTCCCAGGACATGGTTTGACAAATTTTCTTCGGTTATTTATGACTTGGGTTTTCACTCCAGTGACCATGATTTTGCTATCTTTTTACGGTCTACTTCCTCAGGTTCTATTATTCTTACTATATGTTGATGATATAATTATTTCGGATGATGACACTACTGGCATATGCTTATTGAAAACCCAGTTGCAGGACTATTTTGAGATGAAAGATTTGGGGCAGCTTAGATATTTCTTGGGTATTGAGATTGCATCCTCTCGTAAAGAATATCTTATCTCTCAGTCTAAGTATGCTTCAGATGTTATTCAACGAGCTCGTTTATCAGATAATCGGACAGTTGAAACACCTTTAGAGCTCAATGTTCATTACTCTTCTTCTGATGGTACTCCCCTGTTTGACCCTACGCTCTATCGTGCTATTATTGAGAGTTTAGTATATCTTACAGTCACTCGTCCGGATATCTCCTATGCTATTCATATTGTTAGCAAATTTGTTACCTCACCCACCATTGTTCACTGGGCTGCGGTTCTTCGTATTCTTCGTTATCTTTTAGGTACTCTACACCAGAGTTTGTTATTCTCCTCCTCTTCTTCTATGGAACTCAGGGCTTATTTTGATGTTGACTGGGCTGGTGACTCTATGGATCGTAAGTCCACTACAGGTTTTTGTATTTTCCTTGGCGATTCTCTTGTTTCTTGGAAAAGGAAGAAACAAACTGTTATTTCTCGTTCATCTGCTGAAGCTGAATATCGTGCTATGACATCTACTATAGCTGAGATAGTTTGGTTACGATGGCTCCTTACTGATCTTGGCATCATGTTACCTGCGCCGACTCCTATGTATTGTGACAATACTAGTGTTATTCAGATTTCTCATAATTCAATCTTTCATGAGCGCACAAATCAAATTGAGATTGATTGTCACTTTGTGCGTCATCATCTTCAGCTGGGCACTATCTTCCTCTATTTTCTTTCTTCCACTATGTAGTTAGTAGATTTTTTCACAAAATTGCATACTATTACTCGCTTTCGTTTTCTTCTTGGTAAATTCTTGATGTTTTCTACTAGCACATCATGAGTTTGAGAGAGGGTGTTAGAGTAGTTAGAATATTTAATCTTAAGGGTAGTGTAGTCCTTTTATTCCTTTATGTTGCCCTACTATATAAGGGCCTTTTGTATGCATTTTTCTATTATGCTATAATATAATTATTCTCTATTGTCTCTTCTCTTTCTCTCTTTGCTTTTATCAAAGTTTACATTATACATATATAAATAAAATAAGATTGAGCAAATTATTATATGTTTAAAACAAGTAGCAAGTAATTATATGTATAATGTATAAATTTATATAATTCTTTGTAATAATGAAAATGACCTGAAAAATAGTTCAAAGCGAACTGTGACCCAAAATAGCGTACCAGCTAAGCTTATCTCCACCGCACCGCACACTAAAAGAAGTAACGTACCCTGCACCTGTACTTGTACCATGTACTCAACTGACCCACTATCCAGATAACCCTGACTTAGACCTATGATGTTAACTATGGAGAAATATTTTGTCCAGTAGCTAAAATCTCTTGTATTCGGGTTTTGATACTACTCATCTTGATCGACCCTTTTTTCAATTAGATGTTAAGAATGCTTTCTTACATGGTGATTTAGTGGAAAACGTTTACATTAAACAACCACCAAGGTTTGTTGCTCAAGTGGAGTGTCAAGGAACTGTGTGCAAGTTACAGATAACATTGTATGGATTGAAACAATCTTCACGAGCATGGTTTGGAAAGTTATCAGATAGAGTGTTGGATTTTAGTCCCATAGATGTCAGACAGATTATTCAATGTTTTACTTACATACTAATGCAGGTAATATCCTCTTCGTTTATGTTTGATGTTATTGTGATTACTAGTGATGACTCAGTTGGTATTGCTTAGTTGAAACGATTTCTGCAACACCGATTCCACACCAAAGATCTACGCAAACTTTAGTATTTCCTTGGTATCGAGGTTGCTAGATCGAAATAAGGATTAGCTTGTCCCAAAGAAACTATGTGCATGATCTTTTGGAGGAAACATGTTTTCTAGGTGATCAACCAATTCATATCCCTATGGATCTAAACCACAAACTCTCAGTGGATAAAGGTGAATGTTTCTTAGATCTTGAAAGGTATAATTAACTTATTGGAAAGTTAAATTATCTTAATATTACCCGACCAGATATATCTTATGCAGTGAGTGTATTAAGTCAATTCATGGAAGCTCCTCAAGTATCACATTGGGATGCAGTGATCTGTATTATCAGATATCTCAAGCGAGTTCCTAGACTTGGGTTGTTGTATAAATCTCATGGACACCTTAGATTGGAAGGGTTTACAGATGTTGATTGGACAGGTTCCTCGACAGATAGACAATCTACTACCAATTATTGTACCTTCTTGAGAGGGATTTGATTACATAGAAGAATAAGAAGTAGACGGTGGTAGCATAGTCTAGTGCAAAAGCTGAGTACAAAGTAATGACTCACACATGTAGTGAGTTAACATGGTTGGAACACTTCCTTGAGGAAATTGGTTTCCCAGTCAAGATTCCGTTTGAGTTGTTTTGTGATAATCAAGTTGTTATTCATATTGCTTCTAATCTTATGTTTCATGAGTGAACAAAGCACATTGAAGTTAATTATCACTTCATTCGAAAAAAAAGTGTTGTGTGGAGATATTGTCACATCTTTCACCAAATTTGAGGATCAACTTGCTGATATGTTTACTAAAGTATTGAGTAGTTCTCAGTTGAGAAATATTTATTCCAAATTGGGATTATATGATATATATTCACTAGCTTGAAGGGGAGCGTTAGAATATATAGAATGACATTGATGTAATAAGTATATCCCAAGAGGGATATAGTAGTTTTTAGTTATATTGAGATACACATACATATCTATATGATAAAATAGGAGTATGTTTGAATTTTATCCCAGTCATATTTTCTCCCGCAAAACCATCACCAATCACTTACCTCACCCATTATTCCTTTGTCAGACTCAAGCGTTAAATCACATCACTCATTTCTATCACATATTTAAGTATTTATATATTTTCTCCTTAAAAATATCACACCACTCATTTCTATCATATATTTAATTATTTAATATTTAATTAATTTGTAGTTAATATATTTTAAAAAAATTTAATATAGTTGGATCAATTTTTTGGACGCTCGAATTTTATATTTTATCGTGCCTTCATGCACGAGTTATGACTAGTATATATATATGAGATGAAAGGGAAGGTAGGTTACTATCTTTCAATTCTTTCTTATGACTGTCTCTCTCTTTTTCTTTCTCAATTTTTATAGTATGCAATATTAAAAACAACCCTTAATGTACTGCCCCTCGCCCGCCGCTTATCAAGCACTTAAATTATGATACTAAGCTCCCCCCAAGTTTGTGTCCTATAACAACAATAATCCTTGATCAATCCTGGGGAGGCCTCAAGTAATTCAAGAAATGTATAAGAAAACCATAAAATTTATGATGTACCATAAATACCCTTCCTGAGATTGCACACATGTGATATTAGTTCTAGTAACAAATTGAAAGGAGAATTCTAGTAATTCATTATAAAAATTCTAGTAAACATTTCTAAAGAATTTCAAAACGCCTTCCTGGTTCACCCATTTAGCAAATATAGCAATGCTCCACAAAATTAATCAATTAAATTTAGTAGGTGAAATTAATTGTAGATAAAAAAAAAAGCAGAGTCCTTCACTTTATGAGTCCTAAATTTAAAGCGGAAACTCAAATAACATAAAAGTTTTTTTTTTCTCGGGGGGGGGGGGGGGGGGGGGGGTGTTGCAAGCAAGAAAGGGATGCAATGAAAAAAGAAAACAAATTTTGTTTTAGTATAAAGTGGTTGGCATCTAAAAGCTTACTGGTGTCATCAAGAGACAGAGAATAAGACTTACTAAGGCAAGGTTCAAAATTTCTTTTCGGTGCAGTATTTTCGGTCACTAAGGAAACTGAAATATTTAGAAAAAGAAAGAAAAATAACAAAAAATATGGGAATTTATTTTCAAAATATTATTCGAAATATACCAAAATATCTTGAAACACCTCAAAATATTCCAAAACATTGGTGAAAACATGTCAAAACACCTCGAATAATTGGAATTACGATTCAATCACAGTTCGTTTTGGCCTTCTTAGAAACATAAACATTTCGACCATTTCAAAACTAAATTATAATTTTTGTATCTCAGCTGGATTCTTCATTTAGCTTTGACTCTATTGTTGATTTTTAATTCTCTATAACCAAAAGACTATCAAAATATTACATTGTCATTGATGTCACTGCAAAAAGGTGTATACATGTAAAAGATTACACACAAGCCTATTGTCTTTGGTGGGATCTGATTAGGTAAATGGTAGACAACCTTGCCACATTTTGCAAAGACTAGTTTTCAGACTTGAATCCAAGAACTATTACTTGGGTGGATGAACACTTGTCATCGTCTCATCGGACCTCTATATACATGTCAATATTTCAATAAACAACTCATTAACATTTGTTCATTTTCTACATTTTATATGCAATAAGCATTAATGTTATTATTCGTAGTCTTGTTCTGAACTGCTAGTGACATTAGCAAAAATACATAATTGATTAGAAATTTACTAAACAAGGAAAATTATGGCACTATATCTATAATAAAACATGGAATTAACCAACTTGATCTAACTATAACACAATTGACATGGCTATCCATAATAACAACAATACGTTCATGCAGTTAGGCTTATATAAATTGATAGTAATATCACTGACCTATAACGGATGCATACGGGGCAATTTTTTCATGGAAAATTGGCCTGTACTGTTCTGGATGTGCATAGTAGTCAGCCTAAAATGGATAAACATGTTAGGGTTAGCATTTTATGCATATACATGTGTCAAACCTATTAAAGAGATTGATCCTTGCAGATGAAATTGAGATAAATGACTTCCAATGAAGTAAAAAGAAAAAAACACACCAATCTCAAAGAGGAAATGAACTTAGATGACTGAATTTTTTAGTTTCTTGATGGAAACCTGTAATTTTGGAATCAGTATGCAAAAAATGCGGAATAAATTGAAGTCTGAAGTACAAATCGAAAAATGCTGAAGCTTGAAGTGTTATGGCCTTTCCTTTCATTACTCCCCTAAGAGTATCTCAAACAGAATGGCTAAAACTCAAAAATAACTAAAATTTAGTTATTCAACGGCAAAAAACATACTCTAACAAAAAATGTTCAGAGTAGATAAAATACATTTTTGCTACAATGATGTTCTACATTTAGAGTTTCACTGTAACATTATGTATAAATAATTTATAATATATTCTCTCTCTTCTTGTCATTTTCCACCTCTCTTGCCCACTCTTTGTCTTTTCCTCTATTTTTTCTATTTTAATAGTCCCAACAAAAGTACAAGATATGAGAAATAATATTTAATTAAAATATAAAACATTTGTTGGAACATATATTGAGAAGCTGAATAATTAAAATAGAAAAAGTGTACTTTTAGATAGTTAAAATATAAAACCTTGTTGGAGATGCTCTAATTCATTGTTTTCTATGATTCTTCTTGTCAATGAGAAAAGGACAAATAGTACAACCATTGCATTTGAATGGAACGGTGACATATACATTTTGGTGTGAGAATGTGTGGATTTTTTAGAAACATTTTGGGCCAGCCTGTCAATCATATAGGGTCAAACTGTTTCGTGTCGAGTCTTAGCATGTCGTATATTTTTTTTGATTGGTTTCATCCATACCTAATTCGTTTATTAATTCAATCAGGGTTGGGTCTACTCGTTTACGAAATGGGAGACTTAAAAAAAAATTCAAATCTTCTAATTTTCTATTGTCTTAATGGGTCTTGTCATATTTTGACACCTTTATGGACCACATCTAACATATTTAATATATTAACTGGCCCATTCCAAAAAAGGGAGCTGTACTCATAAATATACCATTTTTACATTGAATCCCTGTGTCTGCGCCTCACCTTAGGATGAACTCCAATGTTTGGTGCCCGGAGACTAGAAACCTCTCGGGCATTTGGATCGGAGAACTTAAGTAGGAAATCGGGTTTTAAATTCCTAAAAGCCACATGAACTCAAGGGCAGTACCACGTATCAAAAATGTGCAGCTTTGCATAAACATCATCGTAAAAATACCATTACCATGTTAATTATGGGAAGCTAAGAAACTAGCCGCGGGGGCAGGGGAACAACCCTAAGAATAAAAGGTTGTAACAAATTGCTTTGAAGATAACATGATTGCTAACTAAAAGATTAAGTTTTCATGAGGGTGTACAAGACAACTAGGATTGCATAATGACTTTTCAACAAGGTAGGAGAATTTGGGGGGAAGGGGAGGTCTTTGAATGTGAATTAAGTGAGGTATAGATATCATGACACACTTTATATAGTTTTATGTATAACTGTCGTTATCAAACCTTTATCTTAGTTGTACACAGGACAAACGAAAGCTATCTTTAGCAACTGATTGTTCTACCATCTAGGAACTGGTGTAGTCTCTTGCCATTTGATAACAACCAAACAGAGGGAGAGAGTGAGTGTGTGTGTGTGTGTGCGCTTTCTTATTGTGTACGATATGAAGTAAAAAGTTGTTATAGTTGGTCAAAAGTTGTCAAAAAGAATGAAGGATTGTTTGCTTAGATCTAGTGAGCATTTTGATTGTGTGTTTTGAGTGCTCAAGTTGTGTTGTGTAGTTGTGTTTTTTGTTTAGATCTAGGGGAGCATTTTGATTGCATGTTTGAGTGCTCAAGTTGTGTTGTTCCATGAGAAGTCTAAAGAGATCAACAGGCTCAGTAGCTCTGCAACGTAGCAAATCCATATTTACCCACCAGAAAGGCAAAAATGAAAAATTACAGATCATCAGCAATGCAAGCAAGCAACATAAAGGCATAAATGCAGTTTCAGTAAGAGAAACCCCAAGCAAACAAATTAGTATATATACCTTATCAAATACTTTTGTAGGATCTTTTTGTTCAACCATGTCTTGACTCATCACGATGCATCCATATACTTGGAAGACTCGATTTGATGCTTGTGCAGATTGAACATGGTCTCTGGCCTAAGAAATTGTAAGCAATTCTGATTATAAGGAATCTAAACATTAGTAGCAGAATGTTGCTATCCAACTGAGAAAAATTTGACAATTTCTTGAAAGACATAAGAGAAATCAAATAAAGTATCAAGTCAATCATCGAAATGGAAACTCAGACATGAAGAACACATGCCACTCGTCTGTGCCTCGTGGGAGCTGATCCAATTGTCTTGAAGCCCATCCGAGCATCCCTTTTATGTGCTTGTTGGAACTTTTTTCCACTGGAGATGTACTTCTTGATAAGAGCATAACAAAAAGACTAAACTACTTTGGTATGATATTTAGGCCTAAATAGTTCCCAGTACAATTAGAATAAGATTTTGAGTGTTATTATGGTGGATTGGCTTGGCGGACTTATATCCAAACAAGATTAATACCCAAAACAACATTAAAATCTACTAGACCTTCACCGCATTTTTCCTCTGGATAAGGACACTTCCAAAATCCTCATAACAGGTGATACAAAGTGCAGAGATGCATTGCCAATAAAATCCATCAGGTTAGCCAGCCCTCCCATTCAAGCCTATGAGAGGTTGAAGGCAGTTATCCTCCTAAGGGTAACTTGGATAATGGAAAGCGTTTCCAAAGTGCTTCATTCTTGACAGCTCAAATGAAGAAAGAAATTCCAAATTATACTCTGGATGCAAGTATAAACTAGTTCAAAAACAATCTCAACAATTACCGTGCCAAATGCTTCTGGAAGTCTGCTGGGATCCACAAAAGTGTGTGGCAGAAGGTTGAAAATCTCCTGTGCACCATGGGAAGCTAACACAAACGTGCAGTGTTACCCGAAAAGGAGGAGTAGAAAGCACATGAAAGGAGTGAGATTATAACATTTAACAGAAAAGGTCTTGAACACATGTTCTTATGCTTGAGCGTGAATAAACAGAAACTGCTGTGGTGGGTTGCTTAGAAGAAACAATTTTTCCATAGCATAAGTTGTTCACAAAAAAGGAAACCTTGGGCTGCAGATATGACATCACTATTCAATAATACAGCTTGCCAATCATCACATTGATGTGTTTTCATAGTTTGGGAAAAAAGAACCATGGAAGAGGTAGATCATCAAAGCATCATCTATGATTTCCAAACATTACAATACCTTTTCCAGAACCAGTGAAAACAAAAACTAGAGGGCAGATTCCTGAAGGAAGTCCATTTGTTGCTATCTCTTCACCAATAGAAATTACTGCAGACTTTGCAGCTGCCAACGAAGAGTACATGTAAGATGCACCCAATGAGAGGAAAGGAGTTGAATATCCCAGATTAAGATACCCTGAAATCAAAATAGATAAGTTTACCACTATTAACAGATGGCAATTCATGGTCCATAGAATCCCTCAACAAATAGTTCGATCTTATTGAGTGAGACTACACTATAACAAATCCAGAACACTAACTGAAGCTTTACTTTGAAAAGTCCATAAAAGGAGACAATAAATTTGTAGACGCCCTTTTTTAGGCTAGGATAGGAAAGAAGAAAAATGTCCATAGACATGTTCTTTTCATAAGAACTTAAAGTCATAGGCTTTCCTCATTGTTTCCAAGAAACAGTTCCGTTTCCACATCCAGTTCAGGTCACTTTGATTAAATCAAAGGAGACCAGCCAAAAATCATTGGTGTCTGGAATAGGGGACCAGGAATATGATACAGATGTGAATCAAGGGAGACGTTCCTATTATCATGCAAACTTCTTTCACAAACGAAATATAACTAAATCAAAAAGAAATGTCCATAAATACTAAAATTGAAACATCCTAGATATCCAAAACACCACATGACAGTGAGTGCTGTGGAACATACGTTGTCCTAATCCCCGTAAGAGGTCAATCATTGCAACTCTACCAGCAAATTTTCCAAAAGTGAGTAACCTTTTTCCATGATCTCCATCTATAAGCTCATAATCAAACAAAGTCGCCCTTTCAGCCAAAATCTAAACATTAGGGAGAATGTCAGCAAAAATAAAATCATCATGGTTCCATGAAGACATCTGCAATGAATCGATGAACAGAACAAGAACACACCTTATCAAGCAAAGGCATGTTTTCTATCTGCGCTTTGTGAGTATGGGAGAAAAAGGCATAAGCCCTGTCAGGAAGAATCATCTCAAGCTGCACCCAAAATAGATAGTTATACAGGAGTTTGATGCTTTAATCATTTAAGAAGTAGATCACAGCGAAGCCTGGGCACCTTTGGTTGCTTAATACCCAAAATAAGACCACATTCTGACAAATCATCTGATATTTCACAACCAACGTCCTCATAAAGGGCATCATGGTGGATGCGCTTTGTGGATGGCTGCACAATAATGCGGGTCACTCCAGTTTTACCCCTGCCACCATTCAGAAGTCGAGCACAGTGCGACGGTGTTAGAGGAACCCTTCTTTCCCACTTGTATCTAGACTCGGAGAGGATTCCAACAACTCCATTGCCAAGCATGGTATATTCACCGGTCTCAAACTAACACAATAATATTGGATTAGACAATAGAAGAGTTCTACAGCTGTTATATACATAGAATTCATGAGTCTAATGTAATCTATCTGGAACAACTTCTTTTGCAAGTGCCAACGTGTTTGCTATAATGAAATTCTCATCAATCACTAATAATAGACATTTGTATGATTTTCATAAGTAAAACATGCATTTATTTAGATTGTTAAGTGAGCAAGAACGAGAAAAACTTCACGCCACTGGTTTCCACTTTGTTACGTCATGTCTGCTATGTCTCATGTCATTGAATCTGAGTCCCAACTTTGACGTAGCTACTTCAAAGGCCTCTCCTTTATCATCATCTTGTCAGCTATTTCAAAGTTGACAGAGTGAACGCCAGCAAAAAAATTAAACACTCCCTTCAATAAATCATAACTCACTACCAAATTTTGCAAGAAAATTCTGAATTCATAGTGGCTTCTCCCCTATTAGTAGTTATACTATGACTTGGATAGTTATCCATGCACTTCTGATCAATGATAATCAACAAGTTTTCCGAACATTTGTCTTCCTTGGGAGTAGATAAAAGTTAAGAGACTGCTTGCTTAATCTTTTGTGAATCTAAATTACAACTCTGAAGCAAAAAAAAAAAAAAAAACAACCAGTATCAGAGACATTAGTGACAATTTTAACATTAAAGTAACTAATTTTGTCTGTGGGTGGTAAGTTTAACAAACGACTGGGTGAACATCAAACAACTCTTGCAAGAAAACTCAAATTATAGTTGAATTCAGGACATTGAAATCATCCATATATGCTATTGATTAAAATTTAAACGATAGCAAAGCAGTAGTTGGTTTACACCTACATTATACTAGACTTTCTTTTTTTTGGTCCGTAAATTTTTGAGATTGACACTAGGTTGCCCATAATAGGTGTGTTGTAATAAAAAGGACCTCAAATAATTTCAAGGAACCTCCAAAATATATAACTATATAAAATCTATACCACCAATAAAAGGCAGCTAAAGTGAAAAGAATTTTAATTTTCAAATTTACCCCTAAACAATTCTTTAAAGTCATCTTTGACCAAGTCCAATAATTAGGTATCTCATTTAAGTTTTAGACCCTACAACTATAGTAACAACACATATAATATTTAGACCTTAGAGTTACATTAACTGATTCGGATTAAAATGAATATCCATTGTAACCTAGCATACAAAGACAACCAATAATCCATATCCTACCTATCATGCATATCACAAAAAAAAGAAATCATCACTTCAGAACAGGATTGAAAGTTTTTGAAGCTAAGGAAAGTGTGATATCTTCTGGCCAAACCCTCAAGTGAGGAAGCTTATGCTGCCATGAATTTGCCTCAAACATGGCTTCCCTTCAATGAGGCTGATATATTCAAAAGCCAGGTGGTGGAACAGGTCCTAAATTTGGTTCTTTACTGGTTAATAAAAAAACTGACCTATTAATACTTAATTTAGTTCATGCTGCATAAACAGTAATAGAGCAGATTGTCCTGGATGGTTTTTTTTCCCGCATGCTGCAAGTTTAGTTCAATTTGTAGTAAGTCTTATTCTTCTCATGATGTTTTAAAGTAATCAAAAATCAAAGACCAATATGAGGCTTGGATTTCATTTGTCAAGGAATATTCAGGTGTACTTATTAGCTAAACATGTATATATTTTGTTCTGTTGCAGACTGGTGGCTTTGCTGCCAAAACAATTGTTGAACTTCTTGACATGTTTTGCCACTGCAATTACATCAACTAGCAAAGATTAATCTCTCTCTATCTCTCTCTCTCTCTCTCAATTTGATGTCATTTTGGTGTCCTGATCTGCTTGTTTCTGCTATCCTTTTTTCTTGGGAATTAATTGTTATAATTATCTTTGGATTTCTGTTGAGTTTAACATATTGATATGAGTTCTTTAGTTATTGAAGATAATGGCTACAGAAACCATAAAACTTGAACTTTCATTTGCTTTACTAGGATTTCTTTCCACACAAACATAAAGGCTAAGAAAATGACAAAAAAGTGTATGTCTGAATGACTCATGCAATATGGTACAGGAACACAAATATACAATATTTATGGTAATGGTTAAATGTTTATGTGTTGTATAGACTCCTAAATAAAGATGACAATTTTGAACAGGAACCTGATATGAAATTATTGGGTCATAATTGACTAGTTGTCAACATGAACTCAAAATGAGACGCGACAATAAGTCGGTCGTATTAGTATCAGATAACATAAAATTAATACGATTTACATATATTACAAGTATTATATGAATAACATTATATTTGTGTCATTATTTATCAAGTACTGATATGAATCTTTTTAAAATAAGAGAATTTTTTTACTTACTTTTATTATTTTGTGGATCTAGTGGATTCTTAGTTTTCAAAAACTATGATTATGGGCTGAGTTGAGAATAGTTTTAGATAATTTATTTAGAGAAACACCACACAATAATCTGGTTGGGTTAACATTAGATTCAACACGATTAATTAAAAGTACTCAACATGAAACTCCACATAACTCAACCTTACTCATAAATACACAGATTTTGAAATGACTAGAAATCAGTATAAAAACAGTTTGATTATATGGAGTGGTTCAATGTCTAAGTGTAGGGTAACGCAAAAGTCTCAGATTCAACATTTCTTTTACCCTAACGGTCAGCCACTTTTATTCATCAAAGAACATGTTCTAACTCACTCGAGCTAAGGTGACCAATATCCAAACTATAGAGAGTAGTATACAAGTCTAAACACTCTAAATATATATATATATATATATATATATATATATATATATATATAGATATATATTGACGATGAAGTTGTACCGTTTCCCGTGAGAGTCTGAAATAATCCGAGTCCACCCGTCGACAACTCAGCCTCCTGCACTACCTCTGAATATTTTCAAGAGAAGACCAACAAACGGACATCTTTTTATAGCAATCATTCATTACCAAACGTATTGGTTTGGTGAGGAAGTGGGATCGTCTAGTTGGGCCACGACGTGGCTATTACCTCACTTTAGAGATGCATAAACAGATAAGGTCGCACCGTGACATGAAATGAATTGGGAAAACATTTGGATCATTCAACTTTACTTTCTGACCTCTCTTCTTGCTTTAGGAACTTTTCTCTTGCGTACTTGTGCATGCCTCGATATGGGAAAACATTTGGGTCATTCAACTATTTATTATGCAAATATTACAAATAATTTTTAAAACGGTACTGAAACTTTCAGTTATCTCAATTTTACCCATCAACTATTAATTTCATGTCAATAAATTTATTTTATTTATTTCACCCACTAGAACAAACTATCATTAACGAGTGAAATCAACTACCAACTATCAATAAAATTTTGATACGCAGTCGTCCACATCATGTCCCTCCATTTGTTTTAATTAGGGGTAGCAATCTAGTTGCATCATGTCAGGTCATTGCGGGTTCATATCAAATATTAGTAAATCATAATTTAACTGATTTAACTAATTGTATCGTATCGAGTTGACTTATGTTATTTTCATGTCATATTCGTATTTGATGATGCACAAAAATGGTTTTGTGCACCACCTGTCAAGTGTAGATAATAAATGCAATGAAATCAATGAAAGAATTAAAGAAGACACAATTTATAGTGGTTCGGTCAATTCGACCTACGTCCACTCTTCAATGGTTTCAGTTGCCGGGTATTTTATTGATTCAAAGGTATGGAGAATGGAGATACAAGCTTTGAGAGAGAGAATGGAGAATCAAAGAAAAATAGTAATCTCCGGTAGTTGGTTCGTCCTCTGTATGTCTCTGGTGGGACGTGATATTCCTCTCCCTCTTCTCCCAGATCGGAGCTATTTTATAGCAGCTAAGAGATTATTCTTGGTGGAGATCACGACTTATCCTCAAGGCTTCTTTATCGCAGCTAAGAGATTACTCTGGTGGAGATCACGACTTATCCTCAACGGAAGGAGGAGGTTGGGGAGCTCTTCATGAAACGTTGTCAAAGATTGGACCGTTTCCTTCGGTGGTACAGATAAGCTTCTCGTGCTCTCCTCTTGGTGACGTGCTAAGCAAGAAGTCTAACCGGTCTTGGACTGTCTTGGACTTGGTGGATTTGGACCGTTTCCTTTGGTGGTGCAGATAAGCTTCCCGTGCTCTCCTCTTGGTGACGTGCTAAGCAAGAAGTCTAACCGGTCTTGGACTGTCTTGGACTTGGTGGATTTGGACCGTTTCCTTTGGTGGTGCAGATAAGCTTCCCGTGTTCTCCTCTTGATGACGTGCTAGCTTCCCGTGTTCTCCTCTTGATGACGTGCTAAGCAAGAAGTCTAACCGGTCTTGGACTGTCTTGGGCTTGGTGGAATCAAAATGAGGTTGGGCTCCTCAACCGGGGTTGGACTTTAACACATAAATTGGACTATTTGGGCTTAATCCATCATTTGCCCCCCAATGCCCCATGTCCAAGGAGATTTGGAGAAGGAGGCATTGATTTTATTTTATTATATATTTTTATTTTTTATTTTTTATATTTTTTTTTCTTTCAAGTGTTTTCCACTTTATTTTAAAGAAGGCCCATAATATTCTGTTTGGCCTTTTTGTTTTGAAAATGACTCATAACTTTCTTTTTGGCCACTTGATTTTGAAGAGGGCCCATAACTTTCTATTTGCCCACTTTATTTTGAAGAGGGCCCATAATATTCTATTTGGGCTTTTTTCCTCTTTTTGAAAAACCATAGACTATAAATATAGTATTCTTCTTCATTTTACCCATTTCACTTATTTTTAAGGTTGAGCACCCACCTCTTGAAAATTTTGAGAACTCAAGTCCTACCCATTTTGTTGAAGCCAAAGTGTGTTCTCCTTGAATCCTTTCAAGAGTGTGATTTCTTCCTTGCTAGTTGAGCTTCTCAAGTGAACAATGTCGATTGAAGAGGGAGTGGTGGAGGTTGAAGAAAGGGAGGAAGTAGACACCATTTT